AGTGTAACATAATAATCATGCTAAAAGGACAAGTCTGCTTCCTGAGTTATCCATACCTGTGGAAGCAAGTCACTTCATTCTGCCAAAACGCACCATTGCTCTGGATCTCGGCAGCCCTGCTCTGCAGCAACAGTGGGCCGCCCGTTTGCCTGGGAGGGGGTCCATGGGCAGCACCACGTCACCCTCTGCTTCCATCCTGTTCTTCAGCCAGGCCTGAGGCAGAGGGTCCCAACGAGAGTGGTAGCAGCAGCCATTAAGGGAACAACTGCCATGATCATGTCCCCTCCCTGTTAGGAAATCCAGCTGCAGTGCGATCCGCAGCTGCCTCTTGTCTTTTCAAGGGTCCACATTTTCCCTTGGCTTGCCACTGCCTTCACCTCCCAACAAGCTCAGGAGCAAGGAGCAGCAGGAAGAAAGGGCTAACGTGCCGTTCTGGGTCTCAAGCAGTGGTTTGTAGTTTCAGCATGCTGGTAAGGTATTAGTGGAGCTGGCTTCAAGTATATGTTAAGGTAGTTCACAGGAACAATATAGTAGCATTCAGTAAAAATTACCATGAGGAGCCAAAATAGGTTGTTAGAAAGATCTTAATAATGGCAAGATTAAATTGCTTTGAAGTAGACTCCTCAGCAGAAAATTTAATATCTTTCTTCATCACTTAATGTTCAAAATCTAAACTCGTATGTGCTACAGGCAAATAGGCTGGTGGGAAACACCCAGCTGGCATGGACATTCAGTGGACAGAATTTTCCATCTGAAACATCTGTCTGAGTCAGTTTTAAATAGTAGGCATTAGGAGGCATTCCTATTCATCTTATGAAACTTTGTATTTGCATAATTTGAAGCCACTTCTCAGACATTTGGTTTGCATTTATCTGCTGCTCTTCTTCAAAACATCATCTGCTTCGGAACAGACTATACAGAACAGTAGCATATCACGTTCAGCTTCTGGGTATTACAGCTCGAAAAAGCAACCTTTCATCATTGTTGCTTTTAAAATGAAACCATATGTCCATTTAAAGTAACATTCAGAATCTATTTTTAATTTTTCTCTCCAGAAAAGAATGACAGTAGCGGTGTGTATATGTGTGCATGAGCGTGGCTGCAGCACGGGTGTTTTTATGGCAAGGGTTGCTCTGCTCTGGTGATGGTCCCTAAACTTCTGAGCGGTGCCCTGGACCTTTGGAGCTGTCCCGGCTGCCATCATCCACCTTGATACAAGCTTGCTGCTTTCCCTGGCCCTCGGTCGCTTTGCAGTTACTTAGAAGAGGGTAGGATTCACTCTCTTAGGTAACTAATTAGGAGCCTAACGTGAAGGCTTCAAAACTGGAGGGGGGACTGGCATCTTTCCTTCCACAGTCATTAAGTCCACGGTCCAGAATTGCCCAACAACACCACTGCCACCCTTCTGTCTTAGAGGCTGCCTGACTCTGCCGAGAGAGTTCCAGTTGCTTTTGTGACCTAGGCCACTCCAGGCAGTGAGGCCCTGGCAAGGGGATGAACTGGCGCATGGGCCACTCATGTATCACATAGTGTGCCAGGGGCATTCCTCATCTGTTGCCCCCTGTGTGTTGGCTCAGCCCCTTACCTTAAAGGAAAGCAGGAGTGAGCTGGTTTGCAAAACAGGGTTGCAGTGAGCAGCCGTGCCTGAATCTGGGGCAAGGTAACATAGGAGTATATGGCTTCCTGACTAGTTTGAGTGGGTCTGAAGTGAGCCTGCTTTCTGCATGGTCCCTGTGGCCACACTGTAGTGAGTGCATGGCACCTAGGGCTTGCAGAGGGCCAAATAAAGGTGAAAAAGGTTCTTGCTTTTTTGTGCTCAAAAGCCACAATGCCTTGTGGCACCTTGAAGACTCACAGATTCACTGCGGCCGAGTAAGCTTTCATGGACAGGAATCTTCTATACAGAATTTAGACTGATGCTGATTTCCATGTAACTGCAGAAAAGTCCTTGCTGAAATAAAGGCACAAGACCCCCCCCACCCCCACCCCCGCTCTTGTTTCTCTCCTCATTTCTCTTCAGGTTGTGTGTTCAGCTTTTGTGGTCCTTTGCCATGTCATGTCCACACTGGGAGCTCAGTAACTGTGGATGCAGTTATCTTTAGCCTTTAAAATAGTCTAGATCAGTGATGGTGTACCTATGGCACGCATGCCACAGTGGGCACGCAGAGCCCTCTCTGTCGGCACGAGAGCCAAGTCACCCCAGCAGCCGAGCATTGGATAACAGCGCACATAGGAGCCATGTGCATGCTCAGAAAGGAGTAGCGGCACCAGGTGATGATGTCACAAGCCACAACTCATTAGCCGTGACTTGTCCAAGCTTTCACATGGCCAGTTAGTACGCTGCCAAGGATAGATAGATAGATAGATAGATAGATATATTTGCTTGGACTGGTTGTGAGTTGTTTTTTCTAAACTAAAACCTCAGTATTCAGGTTTTATTGCAGTGTTGGCACTTTGCGATAAATAAGCGGGTTTTGGGTTGCAGTTTGGGCACTCAGTCTCTAAAAGGTTCACCATCACGGGTTAGAAAAACGAGGTGTCCTGGCATGATTTTGATGGTTGGAATGTGTTTAGAATGGGCAGAAATGATGAGCTGTGCAGAAAAAGCTACTCAAGGAAGGCTTTTTCAAAATTGCATTATTTCCAATGGAACTTTAGCCTTATATTAGGGTTAGGGGAGTGCACCAGGGTAGGGTTAAGCCAGTGGTGGCAAACCAATGGCATGTATGCTGCAGCAGGCATGCAGAGCCCTCTCTGCTGGCATATGAGCCAAGTCGCCCCAGCAGTTGAACATCAGATAACAGTGCACATGGGGGCCATGCACATGCTCAGAAAGGAGTTGCGGCGCCAGGCGATGATGTCACATGCAGTGCCTCATTAGCCGCGACTTGTTCAAACTTTTGCATGGCCAGTCAGTGCGCTGCTTGGACTGGCTGTGGGTTGTTTTTTTCTAAACTAAAACCTCAGTTTTCAGGTTTTATTGCAGTGTTGGCACTTTGCAATAAATAAGTGGGTGTTGGGTTGCAGTTTGGGCACTCGGTCTCTAAAAGGTTTGCCATCACTGGTCTAGATCCTTTCCCTAATGGGAAATCCCCTGCACAGTGAATAGACTTAAAAGTTCTCTGTCCTGAAATTCTGTGTATTGTACCTACTCAGTACATTTATGCCTACTGTAAATTGCAAATAGTTATCAAGGGAACAGGAGACAAAATCACTACAATTTCCTGTATGTTTCATGGTCTTATTGTCTGCATTCTAGTTTGCAGAAAAATTGCACAAAGCCCCAGTTAGAAAAAAGGGTAGCACAGGTATTGGAGAAATAAGGACCATTTCATTAAGAAACCCTTAATGGAAGTTTTAGAACAGAATAATGCATTTGTGAGCCCAAAGAAAAAGCAGCTTCGTGTGTTCTTAGTTGTTATGATGAACTTTGATATAGTTGCAGTTAGGGAGCTCTTAACTTTAACAGAGTTAAGGTACAGCCATAAGCATGGAGCTGTAGGACTTCCTTTTGTCTAAATATGCAAAGTGTAAACATGACAAAATAGACTCAGTAGTGATTTGAAATATCTAGTCTTTTGCTTACAATACTTATGAGCATTTCCTGTATAGTGATACTTCTGTTGACAATACAAACAAGCAGAGGTTGGCAGCAGGACAAAAAGGAGATATCTCAGTGAAAATTGTCACACAAGCCCAAGTGCTATTGATTTCAATATCTAGTATTGAATTATCAAATATCCTGTAGTTGATGGTGGGGAGGCCAGAAGAAAGCTCTGTCCCCTTAGTTTTGAAAGCTGTTCCTATGAAAATGCAGCAAAAGATGTGTTTTTGTAACTTTTCTGTGCCATTGTCTTTCTAGAGTCATTCTTCAGAATCCAGGAATACATGTTAATTTTATTGTTTTGTGGGTTCTATTCATACCCAGAGATATCTCAGAAGTCCAACTTTCCTCTTGGAGATAATGCAGATATATGTAGACAACTGTGTTCCAGAAGTACCAAGTAACCATTCATAATAGCATTTCAAGTATTCCTTTTTGTTTTGTTTTTTGTAGTTTTAATCAGATCTTACGCAAATTGAAAGTATGTTATCTTGAAGGAAGATGTTTCTGTTCTAGAAACAATAAACAGAGAGCAGATGTACAGTTAAGTAACTAAGTGACCCAGCAAATGTTAGTTCCCATGATTGTTCGCATGCCTCCATGTGATGGAGATCAAAATTTGTGTACTGTTCAGTATTCCAGTTGGGCATGACAAAAGTAAAACTATGTGGCTGGATATTTAGTTTTATAGTCTCCAGGGTATATAAGAATGCATCTTGCAGGTTCTGTCATCTGTTGGGGTATGAATGCTTTTGATCTTTTAGATGGAGAAAAACTCTAATTGTTTATGAAAACAGTTTTATACAAAAATATTAAATCTTTTATGATGGATGTTATTCTGATGTAGGTGTGACCGAGTGCTTAATAATTCTTAGAACAAAGTGGGACTGTTCAGAAAACAGTGGGGTGATACATGTTCTCTTGTCCCTGCTTTGTTTCTAAGAGGAGAAAAAACTATGGGAACTGTTATATGGAAGGCTACATATCTTTCCAGAAGCAAAGATACGGCATCTCCAGTCTGCCTTGGCCAATAGGCTAGTGGTTGATTGTGGATGTTTCTGGCTACTATTCTTCAGTTCCCTGTACTTGAATTCTTCGGCAATTAATGTTTTCTTCCTTGAGGGAAAAATGAACATTGGATAGAAGATAATCCAGTAATCCCTACATGCATGTTAACTCCCTTTCTCCCAGTCTCTGAGTAAGAAGAAAGAAGCAAATCCAAGCAGCTGAGAAGTTCTGTTTTTCCAAGGAGAGTTGCCTGCAGGCTGAAGAAAAGGCTTTCACGTTATCGTATGCTGCTTATGGACCAGGCACAGTTTCAGCACTCATCATCGACTAAGGTCTGGGATGCCTGAGAAATGCTTTTTGCATTATGCTGGGTTCTATTTTGTATGAGTTTCAAAATCTATTTGTGTGAGCAGAACTGTGGTACTGCTGCAGAAAACTCATGCAGCAGCTTCACTCTTGAAAACGTGTAGCTTGCTTTCTATCTCACTCTTTGATTTGGTAGATGCTCTTTAGAGGTAAAGGAGACAAGGACAGCAGGGGTCCAATATTGCCCCAGGGGCTCTAACCATTCTGATTATTAAAATAATGAAATAATGCAGGTTGTTGAGTAGCTAACATGTAGAAGTCACTACCTCCTTTGTGCCGTGTCTCTTTACAAAACCGCCAGGCAGTTTAGATGAGAATGGCCTTTTCAAAGCAATACAAATAAAACCTGTTGGCATACCTTGTGCCCCTGAGTTGCCCTGGCCACTTCTACGTAAACCCCACTTTGAGAAGCCAGGTTCCCAAAATGGCTTTAGAAGCATTTCCATACCTACTTTAATCTAGCTTGATGATTGGCACGCATCACACTGAAATGGAATAGCAGGAAAATCTGCTGGCAAACTTGAAGCTTTTCTACATGAGGTGCTTAGCCCACTGTTTCCATTGTGGGTGGAAAATGTGTCCTTTGGAGCTTTTTGTTGGGTTTTGTATTGCTCTGCTTTTCTGAGTATTATTTTAACCAACCACTAGATTGTGCTGTGGTATAACTGCAGTTTAGTAAATTTGTGACTTCTTAGGAGGTTTTTGTTTGAAAGTAAACACCTGGTTTTGCTTGCTCTAAAAAATTCTGCAAAAATGATAGGAAAACACAGAAGAGGGCCTGGAAGAGGATGATGCTATGGAAAGGCCCTGCAAACGCCTGTGGGAGCGAGGTCATGAATGCACAATAAAAGTCTCATGCAAAGAAACCCAGAGTAAGGAGGAGGGTACGTACGTAGACATTCAATTAAGTGACCCAGTGCTTAGGCCAATTCTTTCAAATGTTTCTTTTTTTCTGATATATGTGTATGTATTGGAGGGCATTCATTCATGGGGTTGCCATATGTTGGAGATGACTTTGAGGGTACATCACAACACATTGCAAACAGCTATATTGGAAGAGTACATAGCTTCATTCCATAAATTATTATTCTCCTTGAAAATGTTTTATTTAGTACATATGAACATAAAATTAGATCTCATGCAGCATCCCTGAAGTTAGCTGGTTGACTTCACTTGGATTTGAATCAGGCCTTCAAAATCCTGGCACCAGCGAGCAGAAAATCCTGCTATTAATTTACCAGTTGATCTTTACCTTCCTAAGAAGTTCTTTCCATAGCCCCTCAATTAGAAGCTGGCTGTGCAATCTAGTAACTGAGTAATGCTGTAGGGTGTGTGTTTTGCCCAAGTTAGGCAGCCATTTTTAACAACTTTTATTTCAGAGACTGAAGTATACTTGTGTGTTGGCAGCCAGTATGGTTAGCGCTGAGCTCTGGAATTTTTTGTTTGACAAAATAAATTCTGCTTCTCAGAACGACTGCCCCCTGGGGTAGGAAAAGCTAGAAATAGTTTGTAGCTTAGTTGGTGCCCTGACACATTTTAGCTCAATTACCTCATTTTATGAAGCTTTAACTGTTAAAGTAATACATTAAAGCAAATGTGATTTGTGTGTGTTGTGTGTTTTGGAAGCAGCTGCATTCCTCTATAATTTTTGAAATATTTTGGCAAGAGAAAGCAAAAGAGTAGTAAAATACACATCCCTCTAACCTAAGTTGGAAAAACATATTACGTTTCCGGGTGATTCTTTAAAGAATTATAAGTAATAACTTGAGGGTTTGGAACAGTTGCTTGAGGGAATTTTATTTTTTAAAATGTTTTCTGCCTTGACCAATTAGGAAAAACATAAATATTGGGTAATGATGCTATTATACCTTTCTATAGTATTAGCTGAAGGCACTGCAGTCCTAGCTCAGTGCTGTTTTTAGGGCATTGCACCGTTGTGCGAAGGAAGGAAGGAAGTTTAGGTGGGAATTGGCAAAGGATGGTGCAGGAAAAGGACGGGCTCTTGCCTTTGCCTTTCATGGGCAGTTATGTCTGTGCTGGGCAGCACGCCACTGCCTTTTAGGAGGAATGGAAGGAAAATGAGCTTGGCTGTGCTACCTGCCATGAAGTTGGCCTGCCTTCACTGAGCTTCCTTATTACCTTTTGGGTTTCCCTGAATGAACTCTTACAATGGCAAGAATTACATGGATGGGAAAAGCTGCAGCTGGTGAAGCACTCCTATCAGAGCATTGCAGAGAGGAAAGAAACAACTGCCAGACATGGTTCTCCTCTCTCTTTCGCTTAAAGCCCCAGAGGCATTCTCCAGAGGGCAGTGGTGGCCACTCAGGCCAAAGTTATGCCTGCCATTCCTAAGTCCCAACCTGATTATTGTAACATGTTCTTTGTGGGGCTGCCTTTTAAAGTGTCTAGAGCTCTTTTAATAGAATCCACTAGGTGTCAGTGCAGCCAGATTCTGGTTTCCTTTTACACAAATCAAAGTTTGTTTAGTTTCATTCATGTATATTTGCATAGTTCAAATAGACCGCAAGATGTTTGTACAAAGGCTTGATTTTCCTGGTACTGTATGTTCCAAAGAGCCATTCCTGTGATAATTTTAGCTAATTAAATATTAACTAATATGAAAACATAATGACTGTTAAGTTGGTCTAAATTCGTTTTAAAACCAGCTGTTGATATATAACTCAAAGATCTGATATAATAGGTCTATTCAGATAATGATTTTTCATCTCTTCGCGCCTCAGCAGTGTGACCCTGACTTATCTGATGTGAGGCAAGCACCATGGTTACCATATATGGGGCAGTGGATAGAAGAGGACTGAGGAGGCGTAGGTTCGGGTTAGCCATGGTCATGAAGCTCACGGAGGTGGCCTTGCACCAGTCACATGCTCCCAGTCATAACCTGCTGCACAGGGTTGCTCTGGGGATCAAATGAAGGCAGGAAAGCACACCTGCCAGACAGGAATTACAGCATGATACAGCTCCCCTGGTGGCTTGATAGAGAAGGCAGCCCGGCCCATCTTGCAAGGACTTGCAGAAGTGGCATCGGATGTGTTGGTGCTTGCAAGGGTGGGGCCAGTGCAAACAGGCACAGCAGCTGGAAGCAGAGGAGGCTCCATAAAAGGCTTCTTGGCCTTGCCCAGTTTGGTGGCTGCTTCATGTCCCTGAATTGGTGCCTGCCTCCAGTCCTGCAGTGGCTTCACTTGTGTCTTGACTCCTGCCTCTGCTTTTCTCTCTGGGGTAGCACCTGCCCAGTGTCTGATTCTTGCTTGATCATGTCTTTCCCGCTGATGCTGCTATGGCTCTCCCAGTTCTCCCTCCATCCCCCCTAGTTCCCTGCTCCAGCTGAGCATGCCTGCTGCTTCCCTCCCAAGCTGTGAAAGCCATGCATGTAACCCTGAGCTTTGGAATAAAAACAGCTACGATTTACTTGTTATTAACTGATGGCCTTGCCACTCAGGAGACCAAGGGCGAACAAGTTGTGAGGTTTTTGTCTAAAAGTTACTGGCCAGAGTAGCAAGGGATTATGGGAGCTGCATAATCTTGGATGCCTGAAAGGTCAAAACTTGCCTACCCTTGCATTAGACTTGGATGGATGGGGGAAGGCGCAGATGAAGAATAATTATGAATAGATTCTCCTGACAGAGACCTTGTTTTGCCTGTGTATACCTATATATGTAACTAAATGCAGACCTGCAGTGTAAACTGAGCCATCATTATGCACTGGCCTTGTGGGGAAAATTTTTGAGGCATTTGAAGGTGATCTGCTCCTGTAATAGTGAAACCCAGAAATGTTTGTCATAAGAAACAGGAGCAAGGAAACTGTACTCAACAGAGTTTGCCTTCTAGAGGTTTGTTTTATTTGTCCCTTTGCCATGCCACCAGGAAAGGCCCACACTAGATGAAAGAAACAGGCTGTGTCTTAGGGTTAATATCCATGCCAGGTTAATAGGGTGAAGAAAAGAGGTCCATCCAGTCTGAATGTTACCTCTTCTTGCCAAAGGTCATGAGCTAAATGCAAATGTAGTAGGATTACCTTGGGCTCCCAAAGCCAGCAGGCATTTGTGTAATCAAAAAGACAATAAGCACCATCTAGAATTGCTGTGCCATCAATTCTTATTAACTTTTCTTTCCACAATTAAATGGTGAAAGTAACTCTTTTCTTCACCTAGGTTTTCAGAGTAGTAGAGTTCTGTTTTTCAGGTTTGCTTGGCTTGAGTTTGTTACTGTCTTAAACTATTGTATGCCATCTTATTTCATTGTTTTATTCACATGTATTTATGCAATTGAAACCTATATTAATATCACACAGGAAGTTCAGTGGCACAGGCAGCCAGCTCTCCTTTTATATTAATGTCTGTTCATCGCATGCCAGTGAGGACCACTGATATTCTGGTCTTCTCTTGTCTTTCCCTAGCTATTCATCTGCTCAGTTGCTGCTGCCTTCAGTGCTGCACTTGCTCTCTTCTGTGGGGAAACATAACCCCCTTAATTGAGCACCTGAGTTCAGAGGAGCTTGTTCTGCTTCTGCCTTGGGTGCCTGTCTGCAGGGTGCTCCTTCCTCAGCCAAAGAAGATGGTTTAGCAACACTGGGCAGGCCGACTTGCAAGTTGAGAGGAGGTTTAGGAGCGGTAACAGCAATTTCTTGTTTGATATGAGAGTGATGTAAAAGAAATGGAAGATGATTTTATATTGTAGGAAGAGTCATTTAATATGGGTATTAAGATATATGTCCTGATAGTAAAATAAGTGAATCAGTGGAAACATTGCAGTGCCATGAAAGATTGTGAGTGTATTGGTAGAATCGATAACAGATAGTGCCACCGGTGTCTGAGTCGGCATGGCTCTAGTTGCTTTTTAAAATACTGTTCTTTGGAAAAGGGCTCACATAAGCTTGCAAGCGACATAATGGTAGCACAACTGGTATTTTAAAATCTTAGGGCGGGGAGGACCAACACATGGCCCATGGGCCAACTGCAGCTCCCAAGCCCTTGTTCTGTGGCTCCATTGCTACCACCCACTCAAGGAGCAGTCATTGTGCTTGGGCTGTGGTCAGAGAAGGAGCTGCAGCGATCACAGGTCCTTCTGTAATGGTTAGTTAAATATATTGTGCACATTAAATTAAATAAATATATTGTGAACAATTGAAGTTACGCTATGGAAATGAAATTCATTGTGCAGAGCCAGGTTCTGGGTCAGAGTCCTCATGCAATCCATGAGGTATGAAAAGTTGGACCATACCGCCTTAGCAAGTGTTCTGTCCAACAGTCTCTTTGCTTCAAAGGGTTCATTTTGCCTATAGAGGCCTTTTTTCCTTGCTTATCTAATATGGGATCCACGGGAGCTAACCTGCTCTTAAAGATTAGATTCTCCCAGTCTCCTAACCATGGGTAACACATTCTCCTCTTTCATGTATGAATTCCCATTCCCCTTTCAAAGGAAACCACAGTGCAGTACCACATCTGCACTGATGTGGGTTCTTCTTAGGGTTTGAATCTTGTCATATATTAACACTGACTTTACTGTACTGTGGTTACCTTCAGAAAGGAAGGCTGGATTCATGCAAAGAAGGAAGGAAGTGATGTGCAGCACACTTCTAGTTTTCCTGCCATGGGTTGTATGAACGTAAAATGTTTTATCTGCCCTGAACATAATTATTCATGTTCTGCCCATCTTTAATTTGCAGATAATTGCTTTGCAATTTGCCTACCAGATGTATAGAACTTTGTGAAATATCCTGCATTCCCTTTTATTTTAAGCTGCATTTTATGGGGAATAGAATCAAAGAGACTTGCCTAAAGCTTGTCAATGAGTTCAGGCCTAAGACTGGTCACATTCATACAACTTGACAGACAGCACTGTGTGGTTACCATGGTTCACAGCGGTT